TTTAGTCGTCCAGATCATTTCTTTCTATTGTTTAGTAGAGACGAGGTCTCACTCTTGTTCAGGCTGGTGAAGTATATTTTCTTAACAATGAGCATTAAAAGTACACAAATACCATCATGGAGGGGAGACATTTTAGGGAGAAACTTTTGATGTTTATATAAGAAAAAACAGCAACAATTATAAGTAACACTATCAGTGACCAGCTCAGAATTCACTCATTGGAATCACAATTTAGTCATTTCACAATGTATACATATAGCCAAATATGCTGTACACAACAGACAATTTTTACTTGTCAATTAAAATAAATAACAATTTGAGATCCTCTGATCTGAGTAATGACCTAGTAATAATGTCTGTAAAAGACATTGTTTTTCACAAGCTATTAATGAAAGAGCTTTTAATCGTTTATACATCTTACACGGAAATGGAATACTAGGTATCTTTTCTCTCTCGGCCAATTGGACACAAATTCTCTACTTGATCTTTTTTGCAGGGCGAAGGAGGGAAGACAATGGAGAGAGAACACCTATCCCATTCTCTAACTCCATTAGGCAAAACTTTTTTTTAGAGGCAAAACTCTTAATATTTAATCATATTTCTATTCTGAAACTATTACAGACTCATAGAATTTCAGTGCTCAAGCTGAGAGAGCCCTTATAAAGTTATATTAGCCAATCTCCTCCTCCTCCTCATTTTACAAATAAGTAAGACTTATTCCTTGGAGGAAAAATATTTTCACTGTGAATCCACAAAATACAATATAAATGCCAAATACTATTAGGTATAAGAGAACTGTGTTAGTGTCTACAAAGGAGTTCATAGACCTGAAATGACATTTACCGTGTAGCAATCTAACAAACCCAAAAGTTACTAACCACAGAGGCTTCTATCTCAAATAATGGACAACAAAAAGGTCAATTTTTTTGATAAACACATTTGAAAATATCACCTATTTCAAAATAGTACACCTACGAAAACTTCTGATGAATAAGAAACAAAGACACAGTAGTAGAGAGAAACTTAGAACTATCCTAAGCAGGAAGAGAATACTGAGAAACAATAGCCAACC